TCTGCTAAATTCTCCATAAACATTGCCTCTTGTCAATATGTATCCATGTAAAGCCCTGCACAGAGTCTGCACCAAACAGATGCTCCTTCCCCTGACCCCACCTCTTATTTACCAATTTTTCTTCTAGCTTAAATGAGAATGGGTTTTTTCCAAAAACTGAGTCACAGTGTTGCATGTTCTCTGGGATCTGATCTCTTCTCACTCCCTGCAATGGGTTGAATCATGGCCCTAAAGATATGTTCTAATCTCTAATCCTGGAACATGTAGCTATCCCCTTATATGGAAAGAGAGTGACTATGACCTTGTATCTTTTTTTGGCGGGGGGGGGGGCAACGAAGTCTCACTCTGTCACCCTGCCATGACCTTATATCTTAAAAGATGTGATTTAGTCAAGGACTTTGAGAGGAGGAGTTTATCCTGGATTATCTGGATGGTCTCCCTCTTTATAAGAGAGGCAGAGGGCAGGGTGTGGTGGCTCACATCTGTAATCCCAGCACTTTGGGAGGTTGAGGTGGGTGGATCACGAGGTCAAGAGTTCAAGTCCAGCCTGACCAACATGGTGAAACCCTGTCTTTACTAAAAAAACAAAAAAAAAAAAAAAAAATTAGCTGGGCAGGGTGGCAGGTGCCTGTAATCTCACCTACTCAGGAGGCTGAGGCAGGAGAATCATTTGAACCTGGGAGGTGGAGGTTGCAGTGAGCCAACATGGTGCCATTGCACTCCAGCCTGCCAGCCTGGGCAATGAGAGTGAAACGCCATCTCAAAAAAAAAAAAAAAAAAAAAAAAAAAGAGAGGCAGAGGAACTTTGAGACAGGCACACAGAGCAGCGATGCACACAGACAAGACCAAGTAAAGATGGTGGCAGAGACCAGAGTGATGAGGTCACAGCCTCCAAGTTTGGAAGGACCAGGGAAGATTCTTTCCTAAAGGCTGTAGGAATAGGCCTCCTGCTGACATCTGATTTTGGCCTCTAGAACTGTGAGGGGATAAATTTCTGTTGTGTTAAGCTACCCAGCTTGTGGTCATTGGTTACAGTAGCCCAGAGACACTCACACACTATATGAATCTGGGCTGGAAGACAAAGCCCTTCCTCTCCTTCTCCAGCAATTCAACAAGAGAAACGACCTGTGCAAGAGGGTGGTCCACAGCCCCCACAGGTGCGTGCAAACACACCAGCCTTGCCAGGCATGTTCACCCACCGTCCCTGGCAGGGCCAGGCCCTCCTCACCCTCAACAACACAGAGCAGTGGGTAAGGCCCTGAGGCTACCTGCCGTCCCTGCCCCTCTTTCTTTTCCCGTTTTCTCTCCAAGGCTCGGGATTCTTTCAGGCGCAGCAAAACTCTTCTTTGCACAAGTCACGACTAAGCTTAAAATGCAAGTATCTTCAGTTACGTAATACGTAGACTTTAGCAGGAACCTCTATGTTCTGTAGTAAATGACTTTACTACAGGTCGCTTCCTGCGTGTGTGGGCTTTGAGAGGGAACACAGCCAGGAGGAACACGTGGGACCAGAAGAGATGTTGCTATGGTGAAAGCTAAAAGCACAAAAGAGAGTCGAGAGCTTCAAAGACCCGGGCTTCCTCCCTCACAGTTGTACAAAGCAAGACAGAGACGCAGCACACAGTAAGATAATCTGATCGTTAGGCCTCCCGGCAGCTCTGTGAAAATATAACATAGTATTATCCACATTTATGGTCAAGGAGACAGAAGCCAGTGGAGATCAACTAGTTTGTGCAAGTTCATGCAACTAGGAAGAGGGCAGAGACAGGACTTGAGCAAATGACCATCTGTCAGCAAGACCCCGGCATGCCTCGTTGCCTCTAGCTAAAGAGGAATGTAGAAAAATGCAGCTGGAGGGATTCAGGTTTACCAATCCCACCTTGTTGGAGCCCTGAGGGTCATTATGCATCCTTCCACCATTCTCTGGGCAACCATGAACCAGAGTTAGTGCTAGGCCAGGGATTTCCCACATGCAGGAGGCTCCCTATTGCTTGGCTGTATGGATGGAGAACACCTGGGCCTGGAGAACAACAGTCCCCACTGTTGCTATTTAGTGGGGTGTTGTTATTATGATTAGGAAGGACCCAAACTTGAACCTCTCTGGGCTTTAGTTCCTCCATCTGAAATGTGGAAGCGGGGTAGTTTGGATGACTGGTTCTCAATCTTTGCTGTCCATTAGAACCTCCCGTGCAGTGTTGGTTAGGCCATATCTCACTGCAATTAGCCTGGAATCTCCCTGGGTGGGATTCAAGCATCAGCATTTTCAGAATCTCTTCAGATGATTCTTAAGGACAGCCAATGTGAGAACCAGTGGTTTACCTGACTGCTAAGGTTCTTCCAGATGCAACGTCTTCTCTGTCGGCATCTGCATGTGAAGCCAGTGCTGCTAGGGTTCAATTCTCCAGATAGTAATGATTCATGAAAGACCCTCAACTAAAGCCCCATGCTCAACTTTTCCCGAGAAAGCCACTTCTCTTTGGTTTGTCCAACAACATTATATACATATATATGTACATAAATATATTTTGAAATGGAGTCTTGCTCTGTCACCCAGGCTGGAGTGCGGTGGCGTGATCTTGGCTCAAAGCAACCTCTGCCTCCCCAGTTCAAGCAATTCTCCTGCCTCAGCCTCCCGAGCAGCTGGGATTACAGGTGCATGCCACTAGGCCCAGGTAGTTTTTTTTTTTTTTGTATTTTAGTAGAGATGGGGTTTCACCGTGTTGCCCAGGCTGGTCTCGAACTCCTGAGCTCAAGCAATTCGCCTACCTCAGCCTCCCAAAGTGTTAGGATTACAGGCGTGAGCCACGGCACCTGGCCTAATATTTAAAATCTGTATAATGGTCCAAACTTCTCATGGTCTTTCATGCTTTTAAGAAGAAGGGAGGATTCATGAGGTAATAAAACTATTCAGGAATCATTTAGTTAATTATTATTTTAGGGCTTACTATAAATGGTATCTTAGGGTTCTGAAACAAAAAATTAATATAATTTAGTCACCCAGCACTAAACCCTTATTTGATCTGAGGACTGCTACATTCAAGCTGAAGATAGAGAGATGAATCATCTTTTGCATTTCAGAAACTCCCAGTCCAAGGTGATGATAACAACAGCAATAATAATAACAGCTGCAGCCAAAATGGAAAAATACTTATTGAACACCAGGAATTGCTGACAGGTGCTTTTTATAGGTTATTTTAGATCCTCACTACAACCCTGCTAGGTAAGCATCATTTCCTTCATTATATTCCTGGGGAAACTAAGGCTCAGAGAGGTTAGGTAACTTGCCAAGATCATACAGCTAACTTGCCATTCTGTCCTGTGTCTATAAGATTTAAAATCCCATGCTCTTTCCACCATATGATAAAACCTCTAGAAAGAGAGAAAGAATTGAGAATTAGAGATAAAGGTAGCAGGGAAAGTGTTAGCTTTCATAGGGGAGAATCAGATCCAGGTAAAGGAATTGCTGTCAAGTGCTCACATGAAAGGTGTTATAAGAAAATCAATCTATATTTAACTATGTTTGGGGCTCCATCCTGTTAGAAGGTACAACACTGGAACACACAAATTCATTACAAAGAGCTAGTTCTCCTGCAGTCAGTCCCAGCTCCCTCTAATTAGTCTTCAAAAATAAATCCGTTGTGTGTTTCGTGGCTCAGCAACGTCATTTTTTTAGCCAGTGTGAGCTCTTTGGTTCTAGGCAGATTTTCACTTTTATTGACTGCCATCAGTGATATAAAATGTACCAGGAGGAGAGGATGGTGGTGGGCACAGCTGTGACAACCCTTTTCTCTATGGTGTTAAGATTCAAACACCGTGTGAGCCAGCATGTTCTGAAGGCACACACACAGACACACACACACACACACAATTCAAAATGAGCTAAGACCTGGAGAACGCTCTATACACATTAGCTAACTCAGGAATCTAAATATAAATTTATTTTTGGAGAAACCCACTGGGCTAAATAATTCACCCACGAAGCCAGATGTAGCTTGAGGCCATCACATGCTCTGGCCTAGAGCAGGAAAAGGGAAAAAGAATGAAGCCATAAATTTTCTTAATGAGGCTTTCCCAAACCACCATTTCATGTTTTCACCATTTTACCTGTTTTGTAGCCAAAACAGGTAAAATCACCAAAGGAACTTAGGATCTTGAAGAATATTCAGAGACTGTGGAAAGAGGTTTAAATATTAGATATTTTTAAAAAGATTCTAAAAAATATTTATTATGCTTACAAAATGGAAACTTCATGTTCATACTAAAAAAAGATTTACAATTATACATAAGTATTACATGCAGATGTATATAAACACACTGCATATGCAAACATATACACATAGACCATCTGGCCAAATACATGATATTATAAGGATGAGTTGATTTCACAGCAACATTTTGATGTGGAAAATTACCTCCACTCCAGAAATTATGAGGAAGGAAGATAGACATTGTCATTGAAAATAATGGCATAGGGATGTGTCATTACACAACCTTGGATGAGATAACATATCAACCTGACATGCATACAGGCGGCATCTGTTCCTGAAAGGAATGGAAAAATGCTTATGAAGATATAGCAATGAGATACTGAGCTAATAGCCTGATAAAAAACACATGTGATGTGTTCTTACATTGCTTACTCTAATTTTTAAAAAAGATTTGGTAAAAACAGAATAAAGATGACACTATCTAAAATAGTTGGTGTGCTTGGAATTCAATTTTTAAAATTTGAAGGTAGGAATACTTCAACGAGGCAGACAAATCAGAAGCTTATTTTTCTGTTTCAGATGCTTATCAAACTAGAAGTGAACATTTTGAACAGGTTTGTTTTCTAGGTGAAATCCTCTTTCCACATCCTACGTAACAAATACTCATGCGCACACACACACACACACACACACACACACACACACAACCTCTTTCTCTCCTTACAACTGTAAATCCATACCATGGGACTAAGGATGCTAACAACCGAAGAATGTGTTAAAGCAACATTTTACCTCTTTGCTGATCAAACACAGAAGGGGTGCTGAAATCCATGGTAGCCTGTCTCATCATTTACCATCAGAATGGCAAAAAGCATCCAGGTCTCTAGAGAGGAGAAAACACGGTCTCAAACATTACAGTCAACGCGGCAGCCAGATGCAGCATCATTTGCCAAGACCTCTGTTTCAGGATTAAAGGTGCATCAGAGCTGCGGGTTGTTGTCAAGGCAAGTGACGAAAATAGATATATGTTACTCCCGTAAATACCTGCTAGGAAAAGAGTTACTCTATAGTCTCATTCATCAGCTGTACTTGGGTATAATACACGCTCCACCCCCAAATAAACAAACACAATCGCTCAGACTCTAAAAAAACAGTAATTGTTGGGGCCACCTGCCTTGGATCTGGGAAAACACAGCAGGTCACGGAGCTTCAGCAGCTGTAATGTCGCTTTAAACCAACAGAAACCTGAATGGGTGAGTGAGGATTCACAGGGCCAGACAGAGCATGTGCAAAGCTGCCAATGCAGTTTGCATTCGGCTGTGCTCTTGGTGGAGTGAGAACTGCATTTGGGTCATGTGATCAGACAGTGCCATCTCAATGGAATACGACGTAAATATTGTAGCAGAAGGCTGCTGGCCATGTGCTGTGCGGAGTAATTATCCATGTTGGCAGTCTTCTTCACTCCCCTTTCAGCTCCCTTCTCCAATTGACAGGGAGGATGGGGAAAGGTGTCATCTGAAAATTGACATTTCAAGGCTTGAGTGTCTGTGGCAATAAAATTAAACAGTCTGCAGTCACGAGGGTGTTTATTGAAGCATTATATGTGGTGAAACCTGAAAGGTACCTCATTCAGGGAGTGGTTAAGTAAATGGCAGTAAATTTGTATTCTAGATTTAAAAATCTGACATAAATAAATCTATGTGTATCTATCTGATGAGATGTCACTAATCTATTGTTAAATGAAACAAGCAAGTGATATATTTCATTTGTTCACATTTTAACAAAACCAGAAGCCGCTCACTGTATACATTATTATGTTTATATATTCAGAGGAACACTGAAAAAGGTGTAGAAAGATACACACTACACTGCTAATACTGGTTACCTCAGGCAAATGTGATTAAAGTAGGAGATTTCTAACTTGTTCTGTATCAATCTCTGTGTTTTTGGCTTGTTATAACCAGTATATGATAATCTTATATTTGATATAAAAATACGATATAATAAATTCAAACAAAGCTCTACATTCTAGGCACAACCAGATTTTTGGATAAGGCAAACAGCCATATAGGAGATGGTCTCATAAATGCTATTGATAGTGGTAATAACTGTTTTCTTTTTAACTTAATTAGTGTTAATTGTGTAAATAAAAGCAGAAATAATTTTTCTCTGTATATGGCCACCTTTGTTTTGATATGGACTAATCTAGTGTATAATTTCTGTTCTTTGATAGGCAGTCTCCTTACTTTTTTTCCTTTTTTTTTTTTTGATACAGAGTTTCGCTCTGTGGCCGGGGGCTGGAGTGCAGTGGCGCAATCTCAGCTCACGGCAACCTCTGCTTCCCAGGTTCAAGCGATTCTCCTGCCTCAGCCTCCTGAGTAGCTGGGACTGAGTAGCGCCCGCCACCACGCCCAGCTAAGTTTTGTCTTTTTAGTAGAGATAGGGTTTCACCATATTGGCCAGGCTTGTCTCGAACTCCTGACCTTGTGATCCACCTGCCTCAGCTTTCCAAAGTTCTGGGATTGCAGGTATGAGCCATCCACTGCGCTCGGCTTATTTTTCTCCTGCCTCATATTTTTTCGGTGCCTATCATTAATTTTCCATCAACAAATCGGCGGGGCCTCTCTTGTCTGTGACAATAATGCTACTCACTCAAAAATGCTACTATTCACTCTCCCATGTCAGCCCCTCCCCTCAACATGCCCTGTGTTTTTTTTTTTAATTTAAAAACACAGGCAGAACCTATGTCTTACAAATCATTACCCAAAATGTGCTCCTTCGGTAAATCTCTTCAACTTCCCAACACCAGTTTCTTGCATTAACCATGAAAGCCAGACCGAGGGGCTGAGAGTGGATTGAGGAGGAAGATGAGAATTACACTAGCAGATCCTCAGCTAAGGAGAAATGGCTCAAGCTCATCTGGCTGATGGAGGTAAAAGGGGTTTTTGCCATTCAGTCCCAAACAAGAGAAAAACAAAGGGTTTAGATGAACTTCTCTTTCATTCATTTGTTTATTCATTTCTACAGGCACTGCAGAGGCAAGACAGAAAATGTCCCCATGCACAATGAGCTTACGCTCGTGGGTGCAACTTCTGCTCCGAGCCATGCTGGAGTAATAGGGACTGGATTCACCCTCCTTTAAGCAACTGGAAAAGTGGGCAAAATAGGTAGAGCAGTTTTCAGAAACCAGGAAGCGCAGGACAGTGATCTCTGACAGAAGATAAACAAGTGAGGTCAGCGTGAGTCCCTAGCGTGCTACCTGGGGAGAGCTTCCAGGCTGCAGCTCATGGAGGGGGATAGAGGGCTGAATGGTTTGTAAAAGGGCCCGCCAAAAGGTATGTCCCCATTCTAGTCCTCAGAACCTGTGAATATGGCCTTATTTGGAAAAGGACTCTTTGCAGATGTAATTGAGTTAAGGGTCTCAAGTTGAAATTGTCCTGCATTATACTGGTCGGCCCTATATCCAACCACAAGCGTCCTTATAAGAGACACACAAAGAGAAGAGGAGGAGGCCACGTGGCCACAGGAGAGGGGAATGACGCAGCCACAAGCCATGGAACACTTGCAGCCACCAGAAACTGGAAGACGTACAGAACAGGCTGGCTCCTAGAGGCTTCAGAGGGAGGAGGCCCTGTTGACATCTTGAGTTCAAAATTCTAGTCTCCAGAACTGTGAGAGAATACATTTCTGTTGTTTTGAGCCACCAAGCTTGTGGTAATTTGTTACAATGGCTTCAGGAAACTAATACAAAAGAGGAACTCTCATAATAAGTGCAAAGTTTCTAAACTGATTACAAAACCAAATTAAAATAGACAGATATTTTCCTGTTTGTAAAAGGTTGCTTTGGACTCATTTTGAAGAAAGGCAGTCAAAGACAGTGGAAAGGGCATGAGCTTGAGCTTGTCTCTTGTTAGGTATGTGATTAGGACAAGTCGATGCAGAGCAGGTGAGCCCCCAGATTGGGCCTTAGCGTCAAGGGTTCTTGGCTTTGCCCAGGAAAGAATTCAAAGGTGAGCCTGTGGTGGAGACAGCAACTTTGACTGAAGCAGCAGTGTACAGCGGCAGCGGAGGTACAGCTTCTTATGGATCAGCGCTACCCCATGGGCGCTGTGCCCGGAGGAGCAGTGTATGGGAGCTGTATTTACATCTATTTTAATTATACGCTAATTAAGAGGTGGGCCACTCAGAACTTTCTGAAAAGGAGTGGGGAGTTTCTGGAACCACAGAAGGTAAGTTCTGGGCCCTTGCCATTGCATTTGTAAACTGTCACGGTGTTGGTTTGAGTATCTTTATGCTACTAAGCAGTGAGGGCAACTAGCGGTTGCTCTCATTACCATCTTCTAGTTTTGGCTGCCTTCTTCACCACACCCTGTTAAAACCAGATTCTGCTCTGAGCAGCAGGGTTGCAACCAGGGGTCTTGACCAGTGCTTGAAAACAAGTCCTGCTGATCTGCCTCATAGTAATGTAAAATTTTTGAGCCTCAATGTCTTAACCTGTGGCATGGGAATCCCACCCTCTAACTTCTTGTGAGAGTTGACTATTATTACCATTCAGTTCACTTCCTGGGCTGCAAAAGTGTCCAATAACATATGGTTGTTTCTTTAAGTGCTTTTTTTTTTTTTTTTTTGAGACAGGAGACAGGGTCAGGCTCTGTCACCCAGGCTGGAGTGTAGTGGTGGGATCTTGGCTCACTGCAACCTCCACCTCTCAGTTTCAAGCAATCCTCCCACCTCAGCCTCCCAGGTAGCTGGGACTTCAGGCATGCACCATACCGGGCTAAGTTTGTATTTTTTTATAGAGATGGAATTTCATCTTGTTACCTAGGTTAGTCTTGAAGTACTGAGCTCTAGCGATCTGCCCACCTTGGTCCCCCAAGGTGCTAGGATTACAGGCGTGAGCCACCACACGGAGCCTTCACATGCATTTTGATTCAAGCACGTATTCACGCCTATCCGGTACCTGTGGTGCGCGAACTTTGATCTATAATGTAGGAGAGGAGAGGACAAGGTCTGTATGGCCATGCAAAATCTGATTCCTTCCTTCCTTTCCAGTTCTCTCCTCACCACTCTTCCTCTCTTCCCAACATCCGGTCACACTGGTCCCTACAGTTCCTTAAACATGCTGTGTCCTTTCCTATACCCTAAAGACGGCTATTCTGTCTCTTCTTGGAACACTCTTTCCCCTGCTTGGTGCCACCATTGAGCTCTCCCTGACCACATTATCCTAAATAGTCCTCCACTGTCGTATCCCACCAGTCACTTCCTTTTCCAGAATGCTGCTTTGTGAATTTACAATGAGAAATAACCCTGTTAGGGAAACAGGGCTTTTGCCCATACTGTGGCAACTGTCTAGCCCAATGCTTCTGAGACCATCTGAAGTGAAGAATATGTTTTTTGAATTTCCAAACCATCATGCATCAATGCATTCTGAAAATATGATAAAAATTAATAATAGAAAAATAAAAAGTAGGAGTTAGAGAATACAAGCCCCAATTTTTATTATTAGATTCAGGAGGCATAATATTACATGTCAATAAATATAACCAGCCTGGGCATGGCAGCTCGCATCTGTAATCCCAGCATTTTGGGAGGCTGAGGCAGGAGGATCACTTGAGCCCAGGGGTTCAAGGCTGCCATGATCTATGGCTTTACCACTGCACTTCAGCCTCAACAACAGAATGAAATCAGATTTCTAAAATATATAAAGAAAATTAGGGCTGGACACAGTGGCTCATGCCTGTAATCTGAGCACTTTGGAAAGCCAAGGCAAGAGGACTGCTTGATTCCAGAAGTTCGAGGCCAGCCTGGGCAACATAGTGATACCCTATCTCTACAAAATAAAATTTAAAAATTGGCTAGGAATGGTGGCATGTGCCTGTAGTCTCAGATACTTGGAAAGTTGAGGTGTGAAGGTTGCTTGAACTTGGGAGGCTGAGGCTGGAGTACGCCATGATCACATCACTGCACTCCAGTCTGGGTGACAGAGTAAAATTCTGTCAGAAAAGAAAAAAGAAAAGAAAAGAAAAGGAAATCAGAACAAGCATAGTACAAAAAAGAATTGTAAAAACTGTGCATATTTTTCACTGAAAGTACAATTCAGCATTAATAATCTGTGCTGTCCAATACAATAATCACTAGCTACATGTGGCTATTTAAATTTAAATTAATTAAAATGAAATAAAATTTGAAATTCAGTTTCTTAATCACAGTTGCCACTGTGATTTTACTTGGTCATAATTAAAATATTTTTCACTTTTATTTAAAAAGTTTCAATTTTTATTTTAGATTCAGGGGGTACATGTGCAGGTTTGTTA